CATTTTGGGCCTAGAAAGGCGCCTGCACCAACCTGGAAGCCAAAAATGGGTGAGAGGACTGGGCGCATGTGGGGGGGGGTCGCTTGCACATGCACCCATGGGATGGATGGACGTCATGCACGTATTGCATGGGGCGCCATGCACATGCTTTTAACACATAATGATAAAAAGGTTAGCCATCACTGTTCTATAGTTTGTCATCTGTGAAATGGAAGATAACTTGATTTCTGTTTGTTTGATTGCCATACAGTTGTACTAAACAAAGGCCATGCTGCCAGAGAATTGGAAATAAGAAATAAAAATATTTGGGAGATATAGGTTGTTCTTTCCTCATTGGTTTAGTGGTTAGGGATCTCCATCAATTTATATTATTGATTAAAGTAGATGGGCCATTTTCAAAATGCTTTCATTGAAGCCAGTTAGACTATACTTGCATCTCTCCATAACTGAGGATGTGGGAGAAGGGAGTGTACTGTTAAAATGCAACACAAGCAGGCAGTTTGTGGTGCTGAATTTGAATCAGTTCATGATGTTTACAGATTCTCAGCATTATTTCCACATATTTTAAAAATGCAAACAAGCCGAGTAAAGCTAGGGGCAAAAAGAAAATTAGAAGGTTTGCAACGGGCACTCAGTTCACATTAACATCTCTTTCAATTGCAAAGCAAGCTGACATTTCTATGGATTGAGGTGGCATGATTTCTCTTCTTTGTGCATCTCACACGTTGGGTGATGACTCTTCAGAGAGTCAGTAATGGAAATTTCTAGAGCTGCAGATGGTTTCTTTGGAAGCTTAACATCCAGTCCACATCTGAGAATGTTCTCCATTAGTTTCCTTCTGGCACTTTAGCATCATCTGGATTCTTCCCTTCTCAAAATTGTGCTTAGTGAGTCAGATGTTGTTTTACTATTTTTGTTTGCTCCCCTGAATCTTTCACTGAGGTAAGGTTTTGAAGGAGTCCTCTGCAGATGTGGAGCAAAGGCACCCTTCAAAAACGATGCTAGCAAATTGCTCCCCACCAACAACCATTCTTTCTGTCTGCTAAGACTAAGAGAGGCTCATGTCATAGAAAGCTGTCTTGATTGTTAAATAAGCTTGAAAACACAATTTGCTCAAGTGTCAGGCTCTGTTTACAGGAGAAGGTCATTCTCATATCTGTTTGGGCTTCAGAGATAATGACATTGGAAACTATGCCAGTCATTTCAGAATCAATAGCTCCAATTTGATCTTCAGTGCTAACCACTCTTATGGGTTTCAGACTCAAATTGTGTGCTGATCTTATACCTTTTTTTTTTTTTACTATTTCAAGCAAGTTACTGAACTTCCCATGCCAGTCATTTGTCCGGTGTTCTTCCTGATTAAAAAAAGTCTTCAGTACAAAGTCCCTCTTTGATACTATATGTTTTGGGCCTCATTCAACTGCATCACTTGAGAGGATTCATTTGCCATAGCCATCTCCTTGCCTTCAGCTTTGATAGAACCTGAATGATTTTCTAACACAGAGATTCAACAGACAAGTTGCCAAGAAAGCATGTTCTTCTCCATCCAGGTCATCCTGTTCTCACTAAGAGTTGTCAGGAACTTCCTCAACTCTTCCTACTATGGCTCCTCTAATGAAGGATTTATATATAGATATCCTGTTAGAAATGTATACATGCATTCTCTATTTTTCTTCCTGGAATTGTTATCTTCCCATGCAATGTGACCAGTGGTATCATTTAAGGACCAGATTTCAATGTGAATTCTACCAATCTGCCCCATTGGACCCCACCACTGATACCTTCAAACTTTGCCTGCATATGTTCACTCAAATTCTGAAGATTATCACTTTGACGGTTTTTCCACTTAATCAGACCACCTATTTCACGCTTTCATTTATCTCCTGACTCAATAGCATCTGTTTCCTGAATTACAAATTACCTTGAGAACATGCATGAAATTTAAGGGTATTAATACTATCTTCTCTTTTAACACTTGATGCCAAAATCTATTATTGTAGATGCTTCTCAAATCTCAGGCTTACTAAATCTAGTGTATTGAAGGAGAGGCTGTTACATCAGATTCCTGTGTTCTTATTATAATTTGAATATGTAGCACAATCTTTTCAAGGATTTGTTTGTCATTCTCCCTTATTCTTCATGTTACGGTTCCAGAAGTTTGCAGTAAAGCCAGCCACATATATTCTAGTCTTCAAATCTTTTAATTCAATGATGTCTTTAGAGATGATAAAAGAGATGGATTTAAGAAACTGAAACACTTCAACGTGATAGAAAAATCTAAATGATGATTCTTCAAAACCTCCTGCCTTACGAAAATTGGTTTGTATTAATTGGCTTACAACATGCCTGTTCTCCCATTACAAAAGTTACAACACAGGAAATACTGTTTAGTAGATGTTCTTTTCTTTAGTTTCTAAAGTGTACCATGATTACTCATCTCTGTCTTCTCATTATCCAAATATACCTGTCAGAGACATTTGTTGCTCTTTTTAATCCATCTTTGAAAACAGATCCATAGAATCCTTCATCTTCTCCATCTCTCAGGCTTTGAGATGTCTTAGTTGCATTTTTGCTGTATTGTTCCCCTTCATAGGGGCAATTCTAGATTCACACTGACCAGACTACTCTGGAAAAATGCTGTAAGCGTTCCCCAGCTGGCTCAATAAATACCATGACTAGTGGATTATGGCAGTTTCTATTTCAGGATTTAGTCCATAAAGCTTTCTGTATTTAACTATTCTCAGTTATAACTCCCACAATCATCATTGGAAAAGCTGACTTTGTCACCTGTACAGATTACACTTCATTCTTTTGTAGGGTTGAATCTTCTTGGAGGATTCACAACTGACATCCCCATCATAATTGAATTACCCACTGTAAAAGCTTCCTAATTAATGAATATGGGTATCACCTGTTTGTTTCTATTATGTTAATCATCTAGAATTCTAGGCATTCTTCAACAATGTACAAAGTTCAGTCCTGTGTTTTGGAATCAGGTGGACCAACTGTTTTTGTATATCAACAAAAATGCGGAACTCGCTCCTCATTCATGTTGCAACTAATCTAGGATATCAGTGTTTAATCCACAAGACATTCCCTAACTGTCCCACAATAAATAGTTCTCCTAACACAGGACAAGGAAGGGAATTAACCCAACAACCCTTCAGATAACAGCATGGGTTTTTTGCAGGTCTCTTTCCAAGTAAGGATTATGTCTCACAACTTGACCGAAGAGTGCTTATACTAATAAAGAGGCTTCTTTTTCCACTTGTATTTTGGCGATTGGAGCATTTCAGTGTTCATCACAGCGTATATTTAAATTCTACTTTTTTGTGAAGTCAGCAAAACTTTCCTTATATTTTGTATGTATATATTTAGCAACCGTAGAAGTGATCGTTTCTTGCTTGGTGTTTTCTCCTTTTATCAATCATCTCATTGCCTCTTTCTCTGTTAACTCACCATTTCATCGTTTGTCTCTTGTCTTTTCCTGTTGGATTGCAAAACTCAAACAACTGTTCTATAGCTTCTTAACTTTAAAGTTGTTATCAGTTACGTCAGCTTGCCCTCCTCATTCCTTGAGTATTGATCAATTCTGTTTCTGATTTAACAAAGAATTTCGTTAAAAATATATGCAAAACTCACATCAGCCTCCCCCCCCCCCCAAGCTAATTTCTTTTGCTGTCCAAGCAAACACAATCCCTTTGAGCAACCCCTTTGCTTGCAAACATCATTCAGACTTCGGCCAACTATGATGGTTGTGCTGCTTCCTTTCACCCTTCCTCTCAACTGCTATTGTGATATGAGGAGCCCATGAAGAGTTTCCCAGTCTCAGTGCAAACGATTTGCCAACTGAGTGACAGTTATAACTCTGCTACATTTGATCAGGGGGGGAAAGCCTCTTTGCTATCCCATGGTCCAGCAAGTCGTCTTCTACAGCCTTTGCCCCCCAGCCAATCAATGGTATATTAAGTCGTGTTCTGGAACCTTTCTTATTCTCTCATTTTCTGTGTTTTGCAAAAACTGCCCTCACCATCCTACTTGCAGCTTCAAGGGCTGTTCCTTCAGTGGAGGTGGGAAGATGGGCATATATTTTGAACCTTTTTCTCATGCAATGAACTTCGGGAGTTAGATTTCATATAAAGCCAGCAGGAGGTTGTAGACTGTGTGGCCTTCATTAAGCATCATTACCTTGATATCAGAATTGGAACTTCATTGAGGGCAATGATCCACCTTTTGTTCAATTACTCATATCTGTGTTGCACAAGGAAGTATGAGAATAATATTTTGCTTATACAACCCACACACCACCTTTGCTCAAGTAGCCTGCACTTTTTTTCCTATTTTGTTCTTCAATCTGGGGAATCTGAGATAGGTAAGAACTTCCCACTGGAAAAAAACCCTGCAGTTCTCACTAGCTTTTGGTGTTGGTTATGCACGGAGGCATTTCCTATATGTATGAATGAATTAGTGAGCATTATAAGAGGTAAGCAGACTGTCTTTATGTTCTACTTTATGCTGGTGTGTTAAGAGTATTTAAAAACTACTTTATTTTTTTCTAGGGGAATTGATGATGAGCCTCCTGTGGTATTATAGACCAGAGCACACTCAGGGAGGCCGTAATTCTAGCATGCATCAGGTGAGCATTTGGCCATGATGATCAGGAATGGAAATCCAGGACAAACGAGCCAGCAAAGGCTGCTTGATGTGATGGTGCTGATGTTTCTAATCCTCCTTCAACCACTTATTTGCAAAGAAAAGGAGGATCATTTTATGTTCCTGCTTTAACAAATGCTTAGTGTTTATTTTACAGTTGGGCCACTTGTTTCTAGACATGGGAACATTTCCATTGTTCCATAAGTGAAATTCAGCAGGTTCTGACTGGTTCTGAAGAACTGGTAGTGGAAATTTTGAGTAGTTCAGAGAACCGGCAAATACCACCTCTGGCTGGCCCCAGAGTGGGGAGGGAATGGGGATTTTGCAGTATCCTTCCCCTGGAGTAGAGTGGGAATGGAGATTTTCCAATATCCTTTCCCCAGGAATGGGGAGGGAATAGGGATTTTGCAATATCCTTCCCCTGCCATGCCCACCAAGCCACGCCCATAGAACTGGTAGTAAAAAAAAATGGAATTTCACCACTGCATTAAAGGCTAACACATTTATTGCTTTGGGTGTTTCTGCTGTACCAAACTAACATAGCTGCCCTCTGGAATAAGTTGAGAAGTAATTTGAGTGGCAAGGCATTTAAAGACTTTCCATTACCTCACCCCAAACATTCATAATTTTATAAACAATCCTAAATTATGCTGAAAGTGTCCTTTTATCTCTGAATTTGTTACAGAATAGTTCTTGTTCATATTTTAAAGTTGGCTTTCCTTCACTTTAAGACACGAAAGCTATGGAAGCTTTCGCTTTCAAAACTGCAAGGTTATCTTTAAAGGCTGGATTTTTTCCCCTTGCTAAGACCTATATTGTTACAATGCTATTTTCCCAGATTAGTGTTTGATAGTACAATAAATGTAGAGGTTCTCTACTATTGTGGTAATTTTAGCACATCTACATGTTCTTTTTCTCTGTTAAGACTTTGGATGAGGGAAAAATTGCTTTTTTCAGTAGCAACATTCTCTCATCTCTTCCCCTCTCCCCAACTAGCTATTCCTATTATTAAAGGTAATTTTATCTACAATGACCTGACAGGATGATGCAACCAGCTTTGAAGCCTCCAGATCCAAAATTTCTAGACCAACCCGGCAAAAACATGAGTGCCGTTGCCTTAGTTTAAAATTGAGCTTTGAGGGAGTGAGAACTTTGAAGAAAAGGCCATAATTGATTTGAAGTGTTGTCAGGTTGATCCCAGAAATTAAAATATAAGAGTTACTTGAAAATGAAGTCGTCATCTGGTCAAATTATATAAGCAAATGAATAGGCAGTTGAGGGCTGTAAAATGTCTGTGCATATTTTGGCAGAACTCCATTTTAGCTAGATACTTTACATTTCATATAAAATATAAATACTAATATGTAATCTATTTCAATTAAATTTCTTTCTTGGCTCCCTCAAAGAAGTGCTGTTTTTTCATGCACACATGAAATGCCTGGTATAACAGTTATATAACTTAATGTATTGATAGGTTATTGTAAACTCTCTCATAAATGAATGTGAATAGATACTGACATCCACCTCTTTTTCCCTACATCCAAGGAACTAAGGTGAGGTGGAAATTATTAGCCCTTAATGTATGCATTTAGACTTCAAAAAAACTGATGTGCTATTAAGTGCTGGGATAGGACCAGACAGATCCAGGTTCAGGGTTCGAATCTACCCTGGATGTGAAAGTTCACTGGGTAGCTTTGGGCCAATTGTTATTTCTCAGATCATCTTACCTCAGGATAGTTCTTGTGAGAAGAAAATTAGAAGAAGGAATGCTTTGATGCCGCCTATAGCTCCTGAAGTAAAAGCAGGATATACATTTACTAAACAAACAAATAGGTTCATTATTGCTATGTTACAACATAGAAGCCAGCTAATTGGACACAGTGCAATATCTCATTTTAAAAAAGCAGAGACTAATATTGCCTTCAGTAGCCTTGACATATCTTTTTTGCTTTTAAACCACCCCTGTTAATAAAACATTAGATTTAGATCCCACACTAGTATCCTAATCCCTGGGGCCTTCAGAGAGTAAATATATTCTTTGATTGAAGTGTGCATCTCGGCGATGAAAAGTTTGTCTCACTCAGTATATGGGCTCAGAAGATTATACTCCAGAAGGTAAACGAAAAACCCGCACTCTGAATGCTTTATATATGACTTGAAAATGGAACCATTAATGTTTAAATCATCACATGTTGGTCTCCTCATACAGTCAACCTACTTCTTAGTAGAACTGGGCTTAAAGATGTAACCCGAAGAGCATGTAAAAATACGATATATACTTTAACACACCACAGACAAAAAGCATGCGATGGAAGAATGTTCTTGCAGTCTCTGATTCCCCCTGTACACTTTCTTGCAGAATGAGATCTTTGCATCCCGACACCAGGACGAGAACAGTGTGGCCTGCATAGAGGAGAAGTGCTATGTTCTGACCTTTGCAGAGTACTGCAGGTAGGTGGTGCTCTTTCCATGCTTGTTTTACGGTCTCTGTGCTCCATCAGAACAGTTCCAGAAGACGGTTATTGTCACTAGTAGGATGCTCCTTCCTTCCCTCCCTCCCTCCCTCCTTCCCTCCCTCCCTCCCTCCTTCCCTCCCTCCCTCCCTCTGTCTCTCTGTCTTTGTGGTTTGTGGGGCATCACAGATAGTTTCAGTACACAAATTGAATTTTCCTCTTATTTACGGGGTCAAAATGGCACAAACAGACAGCAGACGATCTATAGACTGACACATTCTAAGCAAGCTATTGTGGCATTTTTACAGATATCCCAATGAAATCACCTTGGCTTTTTCTCCCCAGACACTTTTTTAAAATGTGCCTACTAGTATAGCCATACTTAGATCACTAAAAGGGTTGATCTATGTTTTGCACCATCCTCAGCATGGGTTGCACATTTAGTAGTTCAGCATATATGGAAGGTCCCAGATTGCCTGTTCCTACTGAAGGCATAGCAGTAAAAAAAAAAACATACAGAAGCACAATTGACCCTTCCAGTCCAATTATTTGCCCTTTCAGCCGGATGTATTGATTTTGCTGTATTTTTATGAGTTTTGATATTATGTATTCGTTATGCACCATCCACTGTCATTTGACAGTGTACAGGAACTACGAGATAAATAAGTGAATGAATAAAACGTACCAGATCCAAATGTCTTAATAAACATGTTTGCGCTTTTGATCTTGAAATAGGAATGCATAGGAAGGAACAATGGGACCGTGCTGTTATTTTTCCTCATTTTTTTCCCCTCAAATGTTTTGCCAATACATCCTGAGACAACTTTTGTAGATCTGGAACCCACAGCTCCAAATCTACAAGGAAAAGAGCAATGTAATCTATTGTTGGTTTTCTTTGTCATTTATAATACTGTAAGATTGTGGCACTATGGTGACACAGTTGTTAGAATGCAGTATTGCAGCTTAACTCTGCCCACTGCCAAGAGTTCAATCCTAACCAAGGTTGACTCAGCCTTCTATCCTTCCGAGGTCAGTAAAATGAGGACCCAGATTATTGGAGCAACATGCTATCACTGTAAATTTCCCAGGGAGAGCTGTTAAGTACTATGGATGGGTATATAAGTCTAAGTGCTATTGCTATTACTAAGGGGTGAAATGCTCTGAAGTCAGCTACCAGTTCACTTCGCACATGCAGGCACATCGCAGGCACTAAGAAGCCTTTTCTGAGTCTGCAAAGGTAAATAGAACAGTGAGGGGTGTGTGAACAGCTGTGTTGTGCGATTTAGATTCGCTAGCAAGCAGGATTTCCTGCTTTCTAGCAAATATAAATTGCGCACCACAGCTGGTTGCCACACAGCTGATCATCGGAACCTTTTTAAAAAACTTTTAGTAAACAAAATGCTAAGAAAAACTTTTTTAAAAAAAAAAAGTTCCGATGACAATCAGCCATTCAATTGTCGGAATTTCTTTTACTGTTTTTTAGCATTTTTTACTACCATTTCTCGCTGAAAAAAGATTTTTAAAAGTTCCGACAAGCAGCTGTGTAACAATCAACTGTGCCTATTTCTAGTGAATATAAACCGTGCGGCACAGCTGATTGTCGCACAGCTGACTACGATTTGCCTGAACCGGGAGCATTTTTTTACTACCAATTCGGGTGAACTGGCAGCACTTTTTACTACTGGTTCGGGCAAACCGGCCGAACCGGTAGCATTTCACCCCTGCTATTACTATTGTTATCGTACAGTTGCTTGTAGACCATATATAGTCCCTGGAAATCTTCTGGGTGGCCCACCAAGGCTCCAGTAGCCTGTCAATCAGCTGGTTGATTGCAAACAGCAAAAGATTGCTGAAATCCCACTGTCAAGTGATTTGAAAGTGTATCACTAAGTGAAAGGAAGGAAGGAGGAAGGAAGACTGATGGCTCCCCTTTTCATCATATAGCTTGCTTGGGAAGTTATAGTTTTTGGCTTGGGCCAGGGAAAGGATTTTTCACTATGTGCACATATGTATGTGTGAGAGAGAGCACAGCCTCTAACTTGTCACTAGGCAACCATAATGGCTAAAACAGAGTCTTCGCATTGGAAAAACTAACTAACTAAATAAAAGTAAAATTTGATAAATCCCTGAGTGAATGAATTATGGCCAACTGCTGTCAGAGGAACCAAGAATGCATGAGCATCATTTACCTGACTGTCTTGCAGATTTTGTGCCTTGGCAAAGCGTCGCGTGGAAGGGATTCCAGGCAAGAAAACGGTGATGGTTCCTCCTTCTGAAGAGTATTCCACCCCTGCCCATCGCAAGGTGCCAGAGGACACTGATCCGGAGTTGGTTTTTCTCTGCCGTCACGTCTATGATTTCAGGCATGGACGCATCTTGAAGAATCCACAGTAAGACCACTGTGGCGCTAAGTGAGCAACGATAGCAGGCCATTAGGCAGGCTAAGCTCTTTGTCCGTGTAGGGGCCTCCTTCGGCGGAGTGCTGCCCACAGGCACTACATAACAACCCCGAAGCACTCAGTCCTCTACATCTGGGAGCAGACTTCCTGTTAAGGCAGATCTTCAAAGCACAGCACTTCATATAAAAAGCATAAGTGGAAATATATATCTATAAAGAAATGTGTGTCTGTATATAGATATAGGTGCTTGCTTCTGTAAATCTATATCTATATATCTGTACAATGAGCTTCATATACTGGAGGGAGGGGGGAAGGGAGGATAAAAGTGGATAAAAGCCAGTAAACTGACTCTAGAGCCAATCTTGTTGGGGATGAGTAGAACATACTGAAGGAAAACTTCAGTGGAGAAGTGAATCAAACTATAAGAAGGTTCCTGGTGTCATGTCCGTCTAAAAAGAAGAAGGACATACATTCTTCTGTTTAGTATAATACTAAAAATGGAGATGAGACCTTGTTTTGGGAGCCATCAATATACTGAAAATCCTTCACATATTCTGCATACATACTACTTGAGAAGGACTACACTCAAGTATTGTGCATTGCAATTTGTCAAATCGTTGCTTTAAAGCAGAAAGTGGGAAAGATGTAATAGATCACCTCACACCATTATGAAAAGCTGCATATCCTTCTAAGATTGAAGCTCTAAGCCAATTGCTTAGCATTAACTTACATTGACATCTATAGGACCTATTTCCGAATAAATGCCATAAAAATCAGGATATCGGGAAACAGGCCCAGCCTTAAAGATCATGCTTATTGGGCACAGCAATGGTGGGGGTGAGAAGGTGGCACTTGAAAAGTTCTCAAGAGTTTGAGACATAAATAACAGCTGCTACAATACTGATCTCTTCTCTCCACAAACTTAGAGAGGCCTGCCTATTTTGGGCAGAGGTAATTTATACATATTTTTTTTCCTTTCCACATCCCATTTTCTTTACTCTCATGTACAGTCCTCATAGAACCTGGATTTGCACACTCATCTAACTTGGGAGGGCTAGAAGCCAGAGTTAAGAAACGCTAGCATAGTGCGTAGTGCTTGAGTGTCAGTCTTTGAAACAGGCATTGTAACCCAACTGAGTCTGTTTTTGCCTGTCTACCTCTCTTCTCTCCCATCCATCCCCCGAATATCTTAACACTGACATATGAACATGCCCGTGATGGTAAGACTCTGGCTTCCAAAAGGGACTGGCCAATGAGAGGTTTGCGTTTTGAGAAACTGCTTCTTGATTCTCACAAGATATTTCTGCCTCTTGCCTTACATGTATAGCTCTTAGAATACTTTAGTTTAGCTTTAACACAAAGCTGTTTCAGTTAATTCTAAAGCAAACCAAAGGACAGCATAAGAAGAGTCCACCCAATCAGTCAACACCCAGCTGGGATTCCATTTGTAGATTGCACTAATTTGAAAGGAGAATCAACACTGTATTAGTCCGTGTACCTGCTGACAGCCAGAGTTGCTCACCTGAACTAGGGACCTATGTAGTTGCTTCCCCCCCACACACACCTTTTGTAAGGGGTGAGGGAGATTTAATTAGTGTTCAGTTATTATCAAAGCGTTCTACGGCTTTAATATTGTTATCTTTTCAAGTAGAGTTAGCACTATATCTTCTGACCCTCAGGCTAGAAGCAAGAGTTTGGCCACCAGTGCTCTATATCTGTTCTGGAGAAAGTAGCCCTACCATATTCAGCTTTTTGTGCGTTGACACAAATGGTACCTGCAGACTTGCTCTACATACCAAAGAAGGGAAATGATGGGGGGAAAACTGTGAAAAAAAAGTCTAACCAATGGTGGATAGCAGAGATCAGGTGATGATTGCATTCCATCCGGAATGGGTATATTCCTGCTTGGAGGAGGAATCTTCCACCCTAAGGCTGAGCATGAATTTTCCAAGCTTGCTAGTGTCCGAGTAGTGGCTTCCTTTGATCAAAACCACTGCTTGGGCACATAGAAGGGTTCTTTGCTAACTAGGGCTACAAAGCATATCTTGTGGCAGCACAGGTATGCAACTGAAGATTCCGTACAACTTTTCTTCATGCAGGGGAAAGCAACCCCTGAGGGGGAACTGTTTAGATAGAAGGGGTAAGCATTGGGGGTTGGGGCAGTATTATATGCTCTGCAGCCATGGCCTGTTCTTCCATTTGCCAAGTCAAGGAGGGAAAGATAGAGATGAAGGGACAGTTCTTCAATGATCTGGGTTGGAGTGTATATGAAGAGTTGGCTAGTCTGATCTATGCGGAATCAGATTCGGATTCTTTTCTTTCTTTCTTAACTAGAAATGGGAGAGAAACTAGTGCCAGAGAGCCTCTTCCCGAAAAGATATTTTAGAATTCATGGTGTGGTGGCTGGAATCCTCAGCATGGTGACTTGAGACCCAGATTTAGGGCAGTCTTCCTGCCCTCATGGAAAGAAGATGAAATTTAGCTTCAGAAACAGAGCAAGTTCGTAAAGTCTTGATTTCTGTTGCTACTTCCTCCCTCCCTCCTTTCTCTGGCTTCTCCAGGCAGGAAAGCAACAGTAGTCTAAAAACAAATAAAATGAAATAAAAATAAGTTACCTACCCAATTCTGAAATAGGGTTGGAGCCCCTTTTCTGGAGAACAGAAACCCAAAACCTTCCCTGCTTCTGATAATTGTCAGAATCTACTTCAGGCCAAGAATATTGTTTTAAAGATTTGTGTAGTTGTTTTATGCTGTTTGCAGACAGCATGTAAATGATTTGAAATGTCTTATCTTCAATGAAAATATTTCATGCTTTTTTAATCTATTAGATATGGAAATATTTTTGAAACTGAAAATGCAGTCAGTAGAATTTAAATTGAAATGTAATACATGTAAAATATATTTTAGTTGATAATTTTGTAAAATGCACTTTTTGTGTCTCTTCCCTTGTTTCCCAGATCTGTATTTCAGTGTTTACAGATGGAATGAGAACATTCCCTATACTCTCCTTCTGTGAAAAAGATATATTAGAAGTAATTCTTAAAAATAAATTTGAGAAATTGTATTGACTTAGAAAACAAAACCAAAGCCGTTGTCCAGTTTTTATTACGGGTGCTGTATTATTAGTGAGACTGCACAGTAACAGGAAAAGACATTGCGTTTATTTTATTAATTAAATGGCTAATTCTGCCATACACTTGAAGTGGCTCGCAAATAATGGTATATAAAATACATTTATTCTTTAAAGTTGGATGAAATCCACTGTGCACATTTTCATCACACACTATTTCCTATTAGGAGGGAGACTCTTTGCTTGATGTCAGCACATCTCTTATCATCTTCTCTCTGGTCCTTGGAAGAAAAACGCATAATAAATGTCAAGCCCAAAAGCTTCCCTGTTCTTGACTTCCCACATGGGGGAGTGGCAGAGTAGCTGCAGTAATCCTGAGCCGGAGGCTGAAATTAAGAATCTTGTTCCCTGAAGGATTCTTTTAAGCTGCAAGCAACACTCCAAACTCGGAGATCAGAAGGTTACATTTTGAAGATTGAGCTTGGAGAGAAGCAACTCTTAGTTTTCATTCTGTTCCCCTGCAGTGTCCGATCTCTTGGTGATGGGTCCTTTTAGGTCTCTTCATCACAAGCACTTGAAGCAAAACAAACAGCAAGCGCATTCCTGTAAGGGTTAGTGTGAAAGCAGACGAAGAAGTGAGGCCCTTGAATAAAACATTGAATGGGGCCTTGGCTCTCCTAGAGACTTCGGAAGCACTTCCAGAGGCTTGCTAGTGAATGAGAGCAATACGTTACGGGTTTTCTTTTAGAACAAAGGAGCAGTGCAAAGCAAGAAGGGATGGCGAAATACATATGTTAGAGCACTATTTTGTTGCAGAAGGCTACTAATGCAGCTTTCCTCCCATTTGCTACTGCAAAAAAACATCAGCTGCATGTCTACGTTTAATTCTGTTATCCCGGACAGTTAAAACAAGAGTTTCAGAGATAGGCAATTAAATAGTAAAGAAGTGCCATCTGGTGGCAGAATTGCAATTTGAAGAAACATCTTCAGTCTTGCCCGCTTAAGGAACCGATAAATTGAGCAATCATTGCTTGACATGCAACATGTGCTTCATTTTTAAAGGCATGAGCCTTCCTTTGGCTTGGAATGGTGGGGGCAGGATCTGCACATCAAAGAAGGGAGGTGGAACCAGGTCCAGAACTAAATTTATTTTTCATTTAATTAATTCAATGTAGTTGAGACAGGTGTTATGTAGTGTAAGCAACATTGATGAATGTCCATCAGTCAATTTTAAAATTACTAAGTGCCATCAACTTTGCAAGAGAGGGGGCAGTTCTGCAGTCCACATCCCAGGATTTCTAGAGGGGACCTGCTACTCTTACACCTCCGATTGGACAGACCTGTTGTGTGAGGAATTCTAATCAGAAGTGTGAGAATTCAACGCATGCGCAAAATCCCTTTAAGTTGTACTCAGGATAAATAATGCCCCAACTGATGGGCAGAAATATTTTTGCTGCAATTATTTTATTACTGAATGGAATGCCACTGGCGATTCATGGATGGTGAGCCAGCAGGAACATAAATATATCCCTTGCCTTTACTTGAAAGCAATGATGCTACCCTCCAATGCCCCTCATATGCTTAATCGTATTCTTTCCTTAATCTGGAAAAGGCAGAAGGAAGAAATATGACCTTGCTGCTCAGTAACTTCCAAACAGGCTTGAAGCCTGCCCGATTTTTACTTTTGTCTTGAGAAATCGACTAATCATTGCCAGTATCATGCGATAGGGGGAAGAGAGAGATCCTTTGCTCTGGGAGAAAAGGGATGTGGACATAAAATTTTAAAGTGTGTGTTGTTGTTTTTTTACTGAAGCTCAAAACAAAATCTTTAACATTCCATTAAACCATTTCAGGATGGTTATGTTTCTAGGTCCATGATGGTGAACCTGTGGCACGCGGAAGCCTCTTTTTCAGGCACGCGAGCTGTCAGCCCAGCTCAGCTCCACCGGGCTTGTGTGCGTGCCGCCCGCCCACCACCAGATTTTTGGGTCTCTGCTGAGCATTTGTGGGGAACGGTGCATGCAAGAGACGTGTGCGCATGTACAGGAGCGGGGGTTGTATGCTCAGGGGCAGGGAGAGCATGGGGGTGGCTCTTCTCCCCCCCCACACACCCCATTTTTGGTTTCAGGAGCCTTCAGAGAAGTCTGCTAGGCCCAAAATGGGGCACGGTGGGGGGGGTCACGTATGAGCATGGGATAGCGTGGGGGGGTCACTCACACATGTGCAGGGAAGTGGGGTACATTGCATTATGGATAGGGGCACACATATATGTGCTGTTGTGCTTGCACACTTTTGGCACGCAAGGACAAAAAAGTTAGCCATCACTGATCTAGGTGTTTCTTTTAAATAAAACTCAGTACTACACTGCAACAACAACAAATACAAAAAATTATAATTCTGTTACTATCTAACGGTTACCCAGATTTCTGCAGCCTCTGTGTCAGCCTTAGCCCTAGTCTTCCTTGAACTCAACAACTGAACAATCATCTGCCTTGGTGGGATGAGGCAAGGGGGAATAGTGGGCATAGATGAGAAAACGAAGATAAAATTTATTACAATGCTAGCTGCATGTTTTGGATCTCTTATAAATGCAAAATTTTCAAAGTAATTTCCTTATTGTTTTATCCAGCAAAAATGATAAAATTCCAATCTGTTTACTGAAATTTTGCTTTATGGATGTTTTAAATATACCTGTTTTAAGGCTATATCCTTAGTGTTAAAACTTAACTTTGCAGATTGTGGAATATGGATTTTGTCTCTTAACCCGTCTTTAAAAATTAATATATACTGCACATTTACCATGTTATATTAAGGGGGGGGGGGTCTGCTTGCCAAAAATAAACAAGGAAAAATTAGTCACCTCTGATGAAATGACAAGATTAAGGAAACAAAGAAGAAGAAAAAATCTTATCAGCCAGGCAGCCAGCACTGATATCCTATAGTAAAGATCAGTATTTAATAAAACAAAACATTCATCATGATTATGGAGGTTCTCAATCATCCAGGTCATGGTTGTCCCAAATGTGCTTTTTCCAAAAGGCAACTGGACTTTCTTGGATTTTTTTTTCCTTCTAAAACATTTTGCTTTTCAACCAAGAACTGAAGAAGTTTCTTGGATGAGAAGTGAAAAGTTTTCAAAGAAAAAAACGAAGTCCAGTTGCCTTTTGAAAAAAGCACCTTTGAGACATTCATTGTGAATTATGCATGCAAATTTCCTCAGTAAAGCAACTTACTTCTACACTAGACGTGCTAACGTGATAGACTGAAACACTGTGATGAACAGGTCTTGAATCAACAACTTCTAATGTACATTTACAATAAATGTACTATAAAGGGAGTCAACCTATTCTCTAGAGCACCTGTGGGCAGAACAAGACTCAATAGGTGGAAACTAATCAAGGAGAGAAGCAACTTAGAACCGAGGAGAAATTTCCTGACAGTTAGAACAATTTATCAGTGAAACAACTTGCCTCCAGAAGTTGTGAATGCACCATGCACTACATTCATGAGATCCAAGAACTGTGCAGCTTGCCTGTGCTAAAGCTGAGCAGACCAACTATTGTTTACATTTTTAAATGCCAGTGGTATCTCCACAAATGAAAGCGTACAAGAGAGAATGTAATGCAATGGTTCACTTGGATAGTAGGCTGCTGGCCAAGCCAACAGATAGCACCTCTGTTCTTGGCAGGACATCAAACACACTGCCCCAGGGAGGTACAGCATGATAATACTATAAACCTCTGGCAATGCAGGCGTTATAAAGTTTATTAAAACAAAGATAGTGTTGCCTCTGTCCTGTCTGAGCAAACTAAACACTACTGTAGTATCACAGAAAACAGAAGGTGAAATGGAGTGTTTTGGAGGGGTTGGGAAGGAACTTTATGTGCTTGCTTTTTTATTTTGGTTTTGTTTAGTTAAGAGCCATCCATGTTAACACTACTAAAACGTATTTGTGAACATTGCAATTCCAAAGACCATGAACATTTAGTAGCAATAGGTTTTGTCGTTTATTAAAAGAAGTTTTGATAATTCTTTAGTGGCTGACTTTCGTTGTTTTCCCACAGGACTTCTCTGGCAACCGAAAAAGATTGTTTGGAAAGATCCTCAATCTAATGTAGAGTAAAATGGTTTAGTATATAAAGGGTTTTTGTCAGCTCCACTAGATAAACGAGTCCATGAAGTCAAGTTCACAGGAAGGCTAACATTCCTTTCATTCAATACAATACAACACAATACAATACAATACAACAATACAATACAATACAATACAATACAATACCAGAGTTGGAAGGGACCTTGGAGGTCTTCTAGTCCAACCCCCTGCCTAGGCAGGAAACCCAATAATTCAGATTGATTATAACAACCCAATTTTGCAAATGAGACTGTGCGGTACCTTCTCCCCTTCTTGAGTTCAGAAAATTAGGAATCTGTTTCAGCTGTTTCCCAATGTTGGAATTTGAATGTTCTGGATTTTAAAAAAAATGTTTCACCCCCTTCAGCGAGGCCAACAGCTTCTGCCTACCTCCATCAAAGATCATCTTCTTTACCCTCAAATGCAGTTTTGAAAATTTCTAGACCATATAAATTTCAACTTTTCAGCTTCGATTTCCTGCTGTAAAAAGCCAATTATAAAAAAAGGGCTGAAGAATAGGAAATTATATTAATTATGTTATACAAGATTATTCCAGTAATAGAGAAATGAAAGAAACATAAGCAATTAAGTAATTGAGCTGGACATATTAGGAGGTTTTTCAACATTGAAGAAAAGGAATACTCAACAAATGTTCTTGTTTTCTCTGTTCTTGTTCTGGTTTTCTCTGTTTTTAAGTTATGTACTGTCTATTTTATTGTAGCAATGAGAAACAATATCTTAGTAAGGACCTTCTCTTGGGGAAAAAAGATAACACTACACCAGTGCAATTATTTAATGCCAAGAAAGGATTAGAATGTGGACTTTCTTTTTTTTAAGCAATACACACTTTTATGTACACAGTGAAGCTCAGAGGAAAAGA